GGCTACTACAGATGAAAAAGCGGCTGCGCTTAGTGACGTTAATTTTCCGTTATAATAAATACATCGTATTTCTTATCAGGATTGGGTATTATTGTAATTGTTATTATATTTCATTGTCGAGGGGATGGAGAGTTTGATCGTTCGTTAAATTGCTTTGAAGAAACGAGTGAGAAATAGGCCATAACGATAGCTTAACGAGCCCCATGGGAATACGTTTATCTTCGATTGACATATTTAGAAGAGATTTTTTAGTTTTATGTTAAATCAATGATCCACCGTTATTCGCTTTTTAATTTTATTTCGAGAAAAGGCAACTTTTATACCTCCTCCAGGTTATTTAGAATTTCATTAGAACTGGTTATGTTTACAGTAAAATTTGCGGTTCGTAAGTAAATGTTACGAGACTTTCAGTTTCTGTATCTACCCACTCATTATTCGTTTTCACCGCGCGCAATATAATTTGAAAACCTATTTTTTGTTGCTATATTTGCATATGTATATAGGTTTGTGCGCGCGCGTGATCTTGCGCATGTGCGCGTATGTGATGATTCTCTCTAGATTATTAAATTAACTTTCTATATGTATTAATTGCTATATTGCATTATCGAAGCTTAAAATTAACGAGCCATTTGAATAACCTAAACGAATGCAGTTAAGCCAAAATAGGTATAAAAAAATATATATTATTCATTGTATTATTTAGCTATTAATGCCCCTTAAGAATAAAGTATCTGTAAAGAGAAATCAATGGTAAGATGAAAGCCTGGTTGTCTTAAACATCGCGTGGCTTATTTGCTGATTGATAGATTAACGTTGACTGAACGCGATTCAACGCTCTTCTTAATATAAAATATGTCGTATTAAAATTAAATTAAGCCAATGATGAATGAGCAGAGGATGGGAGGAAAAGATGGGATAAAATTTTCCATAGACTGGTAAATGTAACGACTGGAGATAGTCGAAGAATCAAGGATCGAGCCACGTGAATGGAATATTAAAGTGCCGGAATGCATAAACGTCTACGAGTTAAGGTAGAAATACAGTATTTGCAATATAATTACATGCCTGGGTGATAAGTTGTTGGATTTACATATTCTATAAAAAAGAGAGGAATAAAGAAACGTGGGCATAGTAATTAGAATTCTGTGTAGAGGCGAAGGAGTAAACGAGCAGATAAAATTAAAATTCGTCGATAGAAGTCGTGATGAGTTCACGAGGATCTGACACTAGTGAATATTTGTTATTCCGAAGACATGGGTCTGGGAAGCACGCAATGGGAATTGTGATTGTTGACTTTGGACTCGTAGTGTCCGACTCTGGGAATGTCACTCGAGACTGCCGCAGGGAGAATGGGAAGGATAACGGTGTGATCGAGAGGGGCCGACAGCTCGAGTCCAGGTCACAAGTTCAGCTCGCGTCGGCCGCGAATGGACAGAGGCTCGTGAATCGGCTACTGAAAAAATGACTTCCACGTGAAGAGAGTGAGAGAGAGAGAGAGAGAGAGAGAGAGAGAGAGAGACCAATAACGAGGATTATTGGTACAACTAGCAAATTCAGAATTGCGCAGGTGGACCAACCACTGCTTGCTCAGTAAACGAGTAAATGGTGGTTACAATTAACAGACGCTCGCTCCCTTTCTATTGTAATTTACACTTTATTTACGCCATTTACACTTCTAATCGCGTAACTCGTAATTACTTTTTCGTTTCAGCGGGTTAATCGGCCCAGATGCAAGAACAGGGCCTAACCAATCGGCTATCCTACTTCTGTTATTATATTTATGATACTTTGGCTTCGCTCTTATTGAACGATTAATTTATTCGTCCTATAAGAAGTTGTGCTTATTTATGGACCAGCTATATTCTCACTCGTCTTTCTCCTTCTCTTACACCCCGCTCCCCCTCCCCACCGTCTAACCGCCATGTGCCATACTCTTGCTGTAATCGGTAATTGGAAAGAAAATCGGTCCACTTCGAATTCAAGAATCGATGTAATTATATCACCAGCTGCTTAGATAATATTCCTTCGGTCTGGCATAACCCATAATTTCTAAATCTATCTCACTGATTCGAAAAATTATTCAGATCGTAAAAAGCGTCTCGTACCTTTTCGCTTACATTGCAAATTTTTTTTTACAATTTTATGCCACCAATAGGCATGCGTATGGTATAATTATGCCATATTCATTTCGGGCGATTGAAAGTAGACACCAAAGGTAAATTGTCATGATAGAGCGTTACACTTGCCGGTACTTGTGTGCGATATATGTGTGCTAAGTTTTTATCGATAGACATGCTGATAATTTTCTCGCTTGAGCCCCTGCCATTGCGCTCCTATAAACCATTACCTTCTCCTATAATGACAAAGCTCGCTGGTACTCTTGTATATATTATCTCTCGCTAAACCAGCGAGTCTTGTTGACTTTTTTTTTATCGACGTACTCGGTTGATGAATTTGACAATGTATGCGAGGGAAAAGGTCCGTTGCGATTATGAATGATTCAAGTACTACTCGATCACCTGGGCCGAATAAGCCAGTAATCCGGATAAAATGACAAATTCAATGCAACGCCGCGAAGCCCATAAATCTTTCGATCGATCATTACAATGACGACTAAGAAATATGCAATCAGCTTCGTATTAATAAATCAATTTCCTTTAAGTATTTACCAAAGAACGTAAACGAGCTTTCGTATTTTTCGACAATTTTTGTGACTCAAGCTTGCGCTCCATTGGGATGAAAATTGAGAAGCTGCGGTCTGGTTCGACCACTAGCCAAGGGATTACGATTCGCGCGATACCTAAGTAATGTTCATGTAAATTTATCTATCGATCGCATTAAATAGTAGACGTTCGTGTGAAAAATACGACGAAGCAAGATTGGCGATAAAAAATCTCGATCGCAATAATGTGGGCCCTTAGTCAGCGATAACCGAAGGGGCAGACACGGGGACAGCGTTCAAAATTTTGTTTGACGGTGCTGGAGCCCGAAACGCTTAACGGACCAAACAAGTTTTAAACGATAAGGCTCAGCTGAAAATTGTGCGATCGAAACGGAAAGCGATGGAAGGGCGTCGTGCGTCGTCCCCGTCGTCAAACGGCGCTTCCGCGCTGGAGGGGAGCGCGGAGAAAGAGGGGCCGAAACAGGTGCACCACGGATCTCCCCCACATCCGGTGACTTTCAATATGGAGAAACTCGGCGGCGCGCGCTCGCGCAGGCTGTTTCAAAACGAAGGTGCACACGCACGTCAGGGAGAGACTTTCGATTTTTATTGTTCGCAAGAGGACTGTCTGGCTTTTTGGCGATTGCTCCCATCCGGTCGGGGAAAAAAGCGGACGTAACCGAGTCCGCAGCTCCTCCCCACCCCTCACCCGAGCACAATATCTCGTCACAGCGAGGTGCGCGAGGCCGAAAAAGCCAGGACTCGGGCGGGGCTCGGAAGAGGAAACAGCGAGAAAGTAACGTGTGCTCTGCCCTATATTGGTAGACCCTGATTACGGATCGACCTCGGATCGCCGGGAAGCTCAGAACCATGGGTACAGAGACGATTACACAGCGAACGACCTCTCGTATACCAACGAACCATCGACGCGGCCTCGAAAAACTCGAACGCATCGTCACCCCGTAAACTGGGTTACGCTAATACGATCAGTAAAGATTCGATGGACGATCATGGGATGAGGGGCGGGGGAGGAGTTGGGATGGGGAGAGGGACGGAGAGAGCCCTCAACGAATACCGATTAACCGACGCTTTGTCTAACTTTGAAATTAATACGACTTGGATGGACTTGATGGATAAGTTATTGCAGAGTGACGCGACTCGATAGATTTGAGAGCGAATCCGCCCTGGGTTAAGTGTGCCGCCAAGTATTATCGGGTAATCGACGACGAAAGTTTGAAGGATAAGAGAGTCGAGCGATCGGTAGCGCCGTTAATCAACGTCGTTTTCATTTTACGAGCAACGCGTGATTTTGACAAACGCCATTATCGCGAACATAATGCTTTCTCTATTAAAGATCAAAAAGTTCAAGAAAAAAAAAGGGAAAATCATAGCGAGAGAGAGAGAGAGAGAGAGAGAGAGAGAGAGAGAGAGAGAGAGAGAAAGAGAGAGAGAGGGAAGTAGAAAAACAGTCGAAATGTTGTCGGACGGTAAGCTATACTTCCGACCAGCTAAATAGAATAGCGAGTTACCGGTGCAAATTACTGGTCATTATTCTCTACGAACCACTTTTTTATCACTTTCTTCCACAACATACGGTAGCTGTGCTTTTTACGTATCCGAACTCCAGCTCGAAGATGGCCCGGATAAACGGTACTTTTATCCAATGGCGAGCTAAAAAAATTGATCTACCATTTTCAAGAACCACACTAAGACATCTCGGGGCTATTTCAATGGCCGTTAAATTGACAACAAAACATAGTATAGATGTCTTAATAATGTCCCTATTTTTTCCTCCTCCTCCTCCTCCTCCTCCTCCTCCTCCTGCCCTTTACGCGTCAGTCACCAACTCGTAACCAGCCTCGATGCAATACCGTAATCGTTCGACATCGTGTTCGGCCTACACGGCAGCTCGTGTCCACTCATGCCCGATCATCATCGACGGGGCCTTCATTCTCCGAGCGCATGACAGTCTCGAGGGAATGTCATTTTGAGCATTTCGAACGCGCCAAACGAAAGGAGAGCGTAGAACGTGAACGAGGTGAGAAAATATGCTGACCAAAACACGACCGCTATTTAATGGTCGACTTTGTCGCCTATTCACAACTACTGATTAGCAGAGGCTAGGCACCCTCGAGAAAGGGTCGCGAAGAGTGAAAAAAATCGAAACTCGCCGTATGACGATGGGCCGGATAACGCAGTTCGCAACGACGGGAACAATAATAATAAGGGCCGTGCCGATGCGCGGGCGACCTGCACTACCGGTCGCGCATCCGCCAATCAGCTTAAACGGCGATAAAACATCGGCAGCTGGGGAACCGACCGACCGGGCAATACTCACCAGCGTGGTCCGAGGCGAGGACCGCCGCCAGGGGCAGCAGTAGGAGTCTCAGCAGGATCGGCAGCGTGAACGGCGGTGACGGCGGCGACGACGGTGGTGACTGCGCCGACAGCATCGTGCCTCGCGAGCAGGTCGCCTCGGCTGCGGCCAAGTCTCGGTGCCGGGCCTCCTGGCCGGCGTCATCGGCGTCTCGGCCCTCTTCGGCACTCTTCGGCACTCGCGGGCCTCAAAGCCAGTGCCTCGGTCCGGGCATCGGCAGCCCGTGGAGGCTTCTCACCCTGGTCACCTGGCGGCACTCGCGGTACCGTGGGCACGGGCTCGGCTTCGGGCGCTGCGGGCGCTGGGATAGCGGCGGGAATCGTTAGTGTGCGCGCGACTCGCCTCCTGGCATCGCGGTCGCTGCGAGACTGAGGAGCGGGGCACAGGAGCCGACGGACGCTGGCTTCCCTTCACCGGCCGAGCGACGAGTGCGCGCGCAGTGGGCCACCGGGGCCTCGGTCCCGAGGCCCGCGCCGAGCCGAGCCGATCCGAGCCGCCGAGGACGTCCCGGCGTCACGAAGGAGCTTCGCTCCCGAGCTTCGGCCGAAAGCTTCGATCTCTTCGAGCTCGATTCGATTAGGCACGGGACGTCGGGTCCATGCGCCCCTTACCATCCCTCCAACATAATAAGGATCTCGAGCCGAGCGTGTAGGTAGGCTCGCCGAGCCATATGCAAACACCGCTTGATCGATCAATTTGCTCAATTTCAACATCACAGCGATTTTTCTGAGGGCCGAAACATCGGCCCAATTCGATCTTTTCTTACCCACAGAATCATTAAGATCCAACAGTTCCGCAAAAACCACGTATTATTGCTCCGTGAATTGTCGTCCGTTCGCTCGAGAATATGGAAGATTATTCTGAAACAAAAATTCGCTTTATCGATTTAAGTCCGATTCTCTGACTCACGATTAAAAATATCCGCATGACTGACGTAGCGCGATTGACCAAACTACGAGTTTCGGACTATCGAGACTATGAGAGAATATTTCGGACTAATAAGAAAGATATATATTACCAATAATCGCATTAGATGATTCTCGCCCCCCCCCCACTCCACCCCACCCCACCCCACCCCACTCCTCCCAGCTACAATTTCCCCCGCCAACTCGACGAACTGAATCACACAGGTTTATTTATATTTCGGTTTATTACGTTTCTTTCGCTCAAACGTCAAAGGCCAATAACCCAATATCGACGCACACACGAATTCGACGACTGAAAAACCAAATTGACAGTGTGACGATCTTCCAATGTAAAATGCGCAACTTCGATTCTGCCCATCAATTCTTAGACAATAGTATCGCTCACAGTTCGTTGCGATCATCAGTTTGGCCTAAAATCGGTAAACTATGTCCAGTCGCCAAGAGTCGCTCAAGACTTTTTTAAGTTTCCTCGGGAAACGAAGTCTGTGCAAAATGTTGCGGCTCGAGGGAGCTTCGGACGCTCGTCAACTTACCTAAATGTACTCGAGGGGCCGCGCGTGCCTCCCAATCTCCAACATACGCCTCGTCCTACTAATCGGCCCTTCACCCACCATCATTCGACTTCGTTCACCACCATGGCCCCTCTCATCCCCCGCCCGTCAATAAAGCGCGTTCCTTCGACCTGCAGGTCGAGACCTACTGAACCATTCTCCAAAGTACGAGCGGCCGTTCGCCATAGGATTTCGTACTCGCGCACCACTATCCCGTAAAGCATTTGGCTCGACTTACCGTTACACCCTACGACCATCTTATGCCATCATCGTCTCCCTTTCGCACTCGTTATTCAAGAGTCGCGTCTTTCATGCTTTCACACTCGGTGGAACGGCTGGACCGACGACATCTCGGGAGACATCAAAATAACAGACAGAGAGAGAGAGAGAGAGAGAGAGCAAGAGAGAGCAAGAGAGAGTAGGGTGCGCAGACCCCGTGTCCATTCTCCACCTGGACCCCCTAGACCCAACAGCAACGCCAGCGACCACTCCGACTTTCCCCGCTGTAGGAACGTACGCCCGTGGGGGATCTCACTTACCGTCGGACGCTACTATTCGCGTTCCGAGTAACAACGAGTTGGCCGGTAATGCTTCAGTGTAGCCGGAAGGTGTGGGCGCACGTCCGTACGTCGAGCGAGGAGGATGACGAGGAGTTGGAGGAGGTGCGCGCGAGCAAGTAGCGAGAGTGTGCGCAAGTGCGGGAAATCAGAGGGGGCAGCGAGCGCGGCCGAGTCTACGTCGAGGGAGCGACGCCCGGACGTTTGATCGTGGAGCAAGTGGGGGCAGGCGGTTACGGAGCGCAAGTACGTCGACCGGGTACGGTTCAGCGAGAGGCGGTGATGCCCAAGCGCCGCGAGCCGACATCCTGGAAGGACTTCGTAGCCGGCTGAGTAACCACCCCCACGGCTCGAGATCGATCGGGCATCTTCTTCAGTGTGGTCAGTTTGCACGTTAATGTTGGCCCCGAGACGACGTCGCAACAGACGGACCTACCGACCTCGTGTCGCCAAGCGTCGGTGAGTCGACGGGGCCATCCGAGGATCCTAGGGTTGCATGTAACTAATCTCCACCTCCCGCCGCCCTCGGGCCGTCCGCCAGCCGCTATCGATCCTCGTTCCCCCAGCAGCTGTTCCTGGCTGTTCCCTCCCCCCTCCCAAAACTCCCTCACCCCGGTATCAATTACCTTAGCCTTTGCTTATGCATTCGCCTTCGCCTTTGAGTTCGCCTTTGACTTCGCCTTCTATTTCGCCTTCTATTTCGCCTTCTATTTCGCCTTCGACTTCGCCTCCACACCTCCGCCTTTGCCTCGACGACCAGTCCCTCGCTCGTCTCACTCGAGCGTTTCCTCGCCAACTACGCCTGTCAGCGATGAATTATCCACCGTGTAAATTTCACTCTCCGATAAGATTGAATAGAGCTGTCACGCGTGTGTTGTGGGAGCGGTATTTTGCAATCGGATTCTAATTTGCCTTGGACATGTTGAGCGTTAAGCGAGCAGCCGCGCGCTTACATGTGCTAAGGATTCAGTGGGCACTTTGTTATTTTCCAGATTAATGGATCAATTAGCGACTAGTCTATTGTTTTGGTCGTAGAGATGGCCGAGGCCGGTGGTGGTGCGGGTGGTGCTGGTCAGAAATCCAGCGGAGACAATCACATTGCTCACAATCAAACGGACGTTAACGAATGCCTTGGCAGTTGGCTCACGTATTTACAGGTACTCACCTCCTCGCTATTCTTCCGGGCATCGCTCTCCCCTTCTCAAGTTGCCCTCTTAATCCCCTATTATTACGGCAGCTAGCTCGCTCGCTCATCGATACTACATCGAGCAATGATAATTAAGCGCACAGCGTTACCGTCGTATTGAGTAAGCGGGACTTATTTATCATTAGTAGTCGCGGTTTGTTTGTTTGCACTTTCATTCCATTATCAATGCGATTCGTTAAATCGTTGAGCGCGCGGATGTGTCAACGACTTTATACGCGTGACAACTTCACGCACCGCTACTTGAAATATTAGTTACTTTGTACTCTCGCCTCAGCTTGGCGGTGCAATGTTTGACAAAGACCTTTTGCTAACGTCGGGTCATAAAGTGGCTTCGTGTGGCCACGAGCGTCGATACAAGCGCCCAATTAATTGATTTATCATTGCGGAAGGATGGGACCAACGCCATGGAAGATGTAATGGTTTGTACACATTGCTGGGGTCTCGGTCGCTAAGTAAGCTCGCCGTTCATTCCAATCCCGCGATAAAGACCTTTCACTCGGTTTATTTTTATTTCTCACCTGAATTGCCCGTCACCACGATAAACGTTTGACAACTCGTCTATGGAATATCAATCTCCAATCAAATCTTCACCGAACCGATCGCTCTTTCTCTTCGAAGTCAATAATAATGAAAATTATTCAAAGATTATTCAAAAATTATTCAAGAAACCTATGGCTTGCATTCGACGTGCAATAGTAGAATCGCGCACGATTACGATGCATACGAGACAAATTTGCAAGCTTCATGCAAAAAAAAAAAAAAAAAAACATATGACACACGTAGGATAATAAAAAGGCAGAGCTTACGCGATCATCCACTAGTGACCGATTAAATACGAAATGAAATTTTCCAAACTCTCCATTCGTATCGTCCGCCCCGGCCGCTCCCAATTAATAATCCCACATTATAATAGAAGGTCCCGGGTCAAATGAGAAATATATTGGGTAATATTTCGTGACGCGCAGATGCTGAACGGACTATGCTCGGCTGGTACGAAGTTGGCATTGTCCTTGCAGGCGCTTCTATCCGTTCACGATACCATGGCTCAATGCAGGGTGACGAGCCAGTGTTTAGCAGGTTGGGAGGAACTGACCAGGGCAACCAACGTCGCCAGCCACACCGTTAAGAAACACGTCGTCACCGCTATGAAGGATTACGAGATTCTCGACAATGACGGCGAGAAGCACGTAAGGATACGTTATAGTAGCCGCGTTGGTGAACAGAGGAAAGTTTAAGGGGATCGTTAGGCTTGGCGCGTGTCATCGTCGCACGGCTGGCTATTGTAAATGCCAATGCCTTATTACGGGCTTTAATGGTCGTCAAGGATAAGTAGCAATGGTCGTCTGTTTATTCGCAGGATATACTTCGGGACAATATGCTGACCTTCATAAATCTCCAGTACCAATTCTGCGTCGCGTGTTGCAAATGTTTGGGTAAGTGCAGGGGCCGATAATTGTAAGTTACCCGTGGATCCGCGCGTATCGGAGTCACCTTGTTCATCCCCAACCACACGCACACGCACAGACACACACGCACAGACACACACGCACACGCACGCGCACACGCACGCGCACGCGCACACACCCGCCCCCAATAACTACATTTGCCATCGTTCCATTACGGCGCCAGCTGCCCACACCCTCAGTCCCGCCGTAGCCCCTAGTAGCCGCAACGTAGTAAAGCCGCTGAAGCTACCGTTACTGCTCGAGCGCTCTTCGGATCGCCACACTAACTAAAGTATTTGTAGCGAATCGGGAAATTATCGATTAATTCGATTTAATGATTCCGAAGGGGTGAGCTCTCGGCTATATGGCGTAGGCCGGGCGGTTGGGCTGACTGGGCACTCAGTCTTACCGATAAAAGTGCAAAAATCAGCTTCGGCTGCGAATTAAATGCAACGAGGGTTTCAGGAAGCATGGCTGAGTGCTCCTGCTCCCAAGACGAGACGGAGTGCGACATCGCAGCGCTCCAGCAGTGCTTCCAGCGTCTTTACAGCTCACCACCACCGGTCTCCTCCACGTCCGCCCACCACCCATCGCAGCCCGGTAGTCATAGATCGCCGCTGCCGTACTCGTTGTTTCCTCTGCAGGTACGAGCCACCGTGGTGTTTACCGCGTGGAAACCCCCCCCCCTACCTCACTCCCTCCTCTCCCTCCTCCCCCTGCCATACCGCCATCCCCATCCCCACCAAAACTCAATCCAATCCATTCGCGGCGTGAGTCTTTCCCACGTGCCATTACGTACCACATTTTCCCGATCGATTAGCCACTAGAGTTTGATCGACGCGCGCTCATCCACCCGCGAACGCTCCAGGTTCAGAGGAGGTGGTCGGAGACGGCGGCGGCCGACATGTTCGGTGGCGAGTCTTCCGAGCAAGCGGTGCGCCGATGGTCCATGCCCTGGGACTGCCGTCACGTGACCGAGTGGCCGAGACAGGAGGCGAGGACGAGACTGAGGGTGCCGTACCAGGACCGCAGCAGGTCAACGACCCCGGACTCCCTCTGGAAGTCGGCGATGGCCAGCCAGGATGGGCTACGCGAGGCCATACAGCTTCTCTCTTGCAAGCCAGGTAACTCTACGCCCCTTACCGCCCCCTCCCCCGCTGACTATCTTAATTAAACGCGCTTGGTTGCCGTCGCGAACGTTCGCCCACCCTCCCCACCTCCTCGACAACGTCGGCCCTATCCTCAGGAGTCAGGATATCGAGCCAGCAGATGAGCTACAGGGGCCAGCACGTCCCGGGTGTCACGCTAACGACCTGCAGCTACGAAAGCATCGGCTGCGAGGGCGCGGTCTGGCCGGACTCGAGGAACGCCAATTCGTCGCGCTGCTGGCCGCACGATTGCCACTCCAGTGATCATTCGGACCATTCGGGTGAGTATCGGTATAACGGCGCCTCTGCCCATTGCACGAATGCCCGACTCACTCGTGCTCACTCATCCTACTCATCGACCGTTCTCCTCCATTGACAGGGCCGCGCGACAGCGACCATAGTGCCCACAGCGGGGAGCACAGGGATTCTGGTAAGTGGATACGTACGTGTAGGCCTCCGGCTCGACTCGTTCAACATTCCCGACCCATTAATCCCTCGCACTCTCTCTTTCTGTTTCCCCATAGAGCAGAGTGGAGGCAGCGGCAGCATTCACTGCGATAGCAAAGACAGCGTACACTCGCATAGCGACTACAGCTATCACAGGGAATCGGATCCCGGTAGGAATGGTTTAATAAAATTGTCAGTCGCCCATTAGCTGAATGGATAAACTCCTTTCAGGTGTCGTGGAATTGCTTTCGTCTCGTAAGAGCAGCTCGTCCACGGATTCCTGCGTCTCTGCGCACAGTCGCTCGGGCTCCGAAGGTGCAGGTGCTGGTGCTGGGGTACGTATAAGTTATAATTTCCACGTCTCTCTCTCTCTCTCTCTCTCTCTCCCTCTCTCTCTCTCTCTCTCTCGTGTGATATCGTAGTACATTGTCGTATGTATTTTAGGAATCGGTTGCATCGAGCCTTTACTCCATGTGGACCGGCAACGATTTGCACTTTATGAAGTTGCCCGAGAACACGGAAGTTCAAGACGACAGGACCATTTAACGTGATTGCTGGCTAGTGACGCTATGTTTGTGGAAAATTGTCGGCAAAGTGATCTTGCCTTATACCGGGTATTGTTCGCTGTTGGAAAATGGCTTATCGCGAGGCAAGGACTTGCCCCACGAGTGCGCGAGCATCGACTCGTGTCACATCAACGATATCAAAGCCATTCTCCTCCGGCCATATAAATTTATTGGAAGCCATCGACGACATGCAGTTTTTATTCTATTTAATCATATTAATTCCGTATGAGCTGAGTGTAGAATGTCGGGAGAGAGAGAGAGAGAGAGAGAGAGAGAGAGAGAGAGAGCGTAGCAGCAATGATCGCACACACCTGGCACAAATATAAATCTTGTACAAGTGCCAAAAATTTTCTAGACACTTAGTTAAGACAATGTAATTTAATACTAGGAATAATCGATGAATGTACGTGGATATAGGATTTGATGTATATTTATGTTTTCCTATTAAAATAATAAATGAATAAAATAATTTCAAAGAACGACGATATTTGTGGTGAATATAAGGCATTTAATGTCATGGCAATTTGTTTATATGTACAATTTTATACGTATGGCACAATACAGCATATTATTAATAATAATAATAATCATAATAATAATCATAATAATTATTATAATTGTAGTAGTAGTAATAATAATAAGAATCATGATGATCATCGTCGTCGTCGTCGTCGTCATCGTCATCATCATCATCATCAATAATGATAATAATGTTAACAATAATGATAACAATAATAATAATATTAATAATAATAATAATAAGAAGAAGAAGAAGAAAAAGAAGAATAATTATCGTCATCGTTATGATTAATAATTGACAATTAATTGCAATAATGATGACAATTATAATGATGACGATGATGATAATAATAATCGTTGGCGCTTATATATATATATATATATATATATATAGTAAAAAATTAATGATATCGCTTATGAATCGAAATTATAAACCAAACTAATTAACTTACTAATACTATGAGATACGTGCACAAAATTCACTTATAGTCCTATTCGAATAAATGATTTTTTGATCCGTGTTTAGAACTTGGTCATTACTAAAAGAAAGATAAAACATAAAATACGGAACTGAGAGACATTCGATGCTGATTGGTGGCCACGGAGACTTACGTGCAAGTCCTCCATAATTGGAGGCGAGGAATAGGGATTAGGGTTATTAAAAATTTTCATGTTGAAGAATAAAAAAAAAAAAAAAAAAAAAAAAAAAGGGGTTTAAAAAAAAATGAGTGATTTAAAGACAACAACAATAGAACGATCGATCACGCGGGTTAAGGGGCTGTGATTCGCAACGTCCGTGGCTTCTTGAACGATAAAACGTGACTAGAAATAGCTTTCTGCCGTTTAAAAAAGTTTACAGACTCCACGAGAAGGTGCCATTGCCGTTATTAATAGCAGTGGAGACGGTAAGGTCGAAAGGTAAAGGTAAAAGGACGGATCGATAAGCGAGGGAGGAAGATTGGGCGAAGGAGTGACGGGAGGTGGCGCCGTGAGAGACACAGGGACGAGGAGCTGTTGGTGCTCAGTCGATCTCGTCCTCCGTGAGCTCGTCCTCTTCCTGGCCGTAATCATCGTACTGGTCCTTGATGTCCTCCTCCTTGTCGAGCGGGCAGTGCAGGCACCTCGACTCGTTGATGCCGTAGTTGATGCAGGTGTCACCGACGCACTCGCAGCAGCCGTCGTGGAACCAGCGGTAGCTCGTTGCCCCCATGCTCTGGCAGGCCTGTCGGCACTTGTTCCATGAGTTGCACTGGGCCATATAGGCGACCGTGCAGTTCACCGTCATCACGTTTGGCTTGAGCGAGTAGTTCTTCTCGCCCTCGAGCGACTCTGAAACTCATTATCGAGGAGGTCTCGATGTAGCAACATATCGACTCACACTCCCACGTGCCTATCCACACCCCCCCCCTCCTCTACCAAACTTTACTCATCTCCACCATCATACCCATACCCATTCGTGCACTATTGACCATTGGGCCTATAACATCACGACCGCCGTCTTCATTGGCTATATTAAATATTTAAGCGCGACGCTCTCTGTTATCCGCTTGGATTTAAAATTAAATAGGTTAAGGACTCCGTTTAAATTGGGAGGAGGGATCGGTGGTATAATGCCATCGTTGCTTTCTGCCAATTGTTTCCCTTCTCTTTCTCCTCGCCCAGCTTTTATCAAGAAGCCTGGAATTACCGAGTCTCTCGATCTCGCTTTGCGCGTTTCTCCTCTTCTCCTCCTCCTCCTCCCCCCCCCCCCCCCCTCGCAGCCGTTCTGCAATTCCGCGAAACCTCTCATTCCCTCGCGCTGTATCTACACGTGCGCGCTAATGCTCTTTTGTGTTCGTGCGCGTGTGCTAACGCGAGAGCATAAAAAGCGCAGACTTTAAAACAAAATACAAAACAAAAACAAAAACAATAATAAATTAAAAAACAAAACAATAGAAACAAAGAAAATGAAAACAAATGGAAAGAAAGAAGGAAAAAAAAGCCACTTTTTCAGAAGAATTTAAAGAGCATTCCGTATGTGCCGGAAACGTCAGTTAGCAAAGCCATAAAATGAGGTATTCAAATTGCCAGCGTGACAATGAGTCAAACTTTTACGAACTTTACGATTCTTTAGCTTCTTATATTTGCTCTTTACTTCTTTTACGTTTAGAGCCGCTTTGTAAGTAACCGACAATGTCGATCATTCGGGCGGGCCGACCGACCGCGAGATTTACCTATGATTATTCTGCGTACTCAAGAAATTCCTGGCGGCATCAAAGTAATATATAATGGACGAAGCAACGCCGCAACTGTGGTTTTTTCCTCTTTCTTAAAGCTACATCATCTCGAACATTATTACTCGATAATACTATCAGCGGCGATAGCAACAACAACAACAACAACAACAACAACAACAACAACAACAACAACAACAACAACAACAACAACAACAACAACAACAACAACAACAACAACAACAACAACAACAACAACAACAACAACAACAACAACAACAACAACAACAACAACAACAACAACAACAACAACAACAACAACAACAACAACAACAACAACAACAACAACAACAACAACAACAACAACAACAACAACAACAACAACAACAACAACAACAACAACAACAACAACAACAACAACAACAACAACAACAACAACAACAACAACAACAACAACAACAACAACAACAACAACAACAACAACAACAACAACAACAACAACAACAACAACAACAACAACAACAACAACAACAACAACAACAACAACAACAACAACAACAACAACAACAACAACAACAACAACAACAACAACAACAACAACAACAACAACAACAACAACAACAACAACAACAACAACAACAACAACAACAACAACAACAACAACAACAACAACAACAACAACAACAACAACAACAACAACAACAACAACGACGACGACGACGACGACGACGACAACAACAACAACAAATAATAATAATAATAATAATAATAATAATAATAATATTAATGATAATGATAATAATAATAATAATAATAATAATAATAACAACAACAATGGCAATAGCGAGGGCAATGGTGGAAATAACAGCAACAGCAGTAGCAACAACGGCAGCACTAATAATAATGATGATGATGATGATGATGATGATGATGATGATGATGATGATGATGATGATGATGATGATGATGATGATGACGACGATAATAATAATAATGACGATGATGATAACGATGTTGATGATTACGACGAAGTGATCGCAATGATAATGATAATGACAATTGGAAATGGACATTGGCGTCGAGGCAGCGACATCAATGAGTGTGTACGTTAGCACTCGTGGAATTTAAAAATGAATTCCACTCGGAGTTATTTATAGGCGTAATGCCGGAGCGCAGGTGCACTGGCGCACTGGCGCACGCGTGCGCCTATAAGCGCGACCCGAGTGTCGACGATAGAGAAATAATCGGATAAGCTCGCAATTCCAGGCTTCCCGGAATTCGCAGCGCTGATTAGCCGATTGTGCAATTGCGGGCCATTGTGCAGTGGGGCGTAATAGCCGTTTGGCTGTGAAGAAGCTGAAGCAGCGAGCTTAAGGAGGACGAGCGCACTTTATTGGAACTGACTGTTTGAGGAATTGATATTGGTAAGGGCGAGAAGCGGGGCGGACGATCCTTCCCTTGAGGCGGTGCCGCCCTCGATATAATAAATAATACAGGATAAGTAAACAGGAACTCGCACGCGCAACTACTCGTCCCACGTTCCCGTCGAGTAACTTACGCATGTGGTACTTGATCTCCTTCTCCTGGTTGGGCGCGAAGAGGGTGATGTCGAAGTCGACCGGATAGGTGAAGGTGAGCCATCGCTCGTGGGCGTCGGGCTCAGCGGTGAGGGCCTGGAATAGCCCGGGCACGGGCTCGTTGAAGTCCTCAACGTGAGACTTTTTGCTGAGCGGGTTATCCGTGATGTTCGGCTTGGGGCAGAGATCTAAAGAGAGAGAGAGAGAGAGAGAGAGAGAGAGAGAGAGAGAGAGAGAGAGTGTGTGCGTGCGATTAGTTGGTTTAGCGGCTGTTGTTTTTGTGGTGGGCGCGGTCGTTCGTCCGTGCGGGAAACATACGTACCCACGCAGGAGCAGCACTCGTCGTATAGGTAGGACAGGCAGGAAAAGCACTCCTTGCAGCAGGTGCAGGTGACGAGATCGCACTTGCAACTCTGGGTCAGCATGCACTTGCTGACGACGCTCGCACAGATGGCCTCGTTGCAGCCGTGGCTCCAACCGGCCGAGAGCAGGAGGACCAGGGCAGCGCTTAATATCGGGAGGACCGGCGTGGGCCTCATCGTTCCCTAGAAGATCGAGCACTACGTTGAGAAAGCCCTCGGAGTGCTGGAGCAACGATCCCCGCACACCCGCAATACGTCCACGACTTTTCTTCCCGGTCTTCCACTCTCGGGACAGCGTCCGATTTTATCGCCCTCGACGAGGATTTAAAGGAAGCTCCAGCAGCGGCAGCGGTAGCGGCGGTGGCAACAGCGGTAGCAACGGCGGCGGCGGCGGCGGCGGCGGCGGCGGCGGCAGCCACGGTAGCCGCGGAGGCGAAGCTGATTTTTCTGCTGTCGACGGCTGCACCAGCGACCGACGGAGAGCGTGAGAGCCGTGAGCGGAGAGCGGAAAGCGGAGAGCCGTGAGCCGATAGTGTAGAGCGGAGAGAGAGAGAGAGAGAGAGAGAGCGACTGAACGCGAGCACAGACGTTTGAATCGTAGTCTGTCGATTAATCGGCGATGATCGGAAACGATAATTGCGTTTGACGCAATTATTTAAGTCTACTGTAGCTCGTTATTGCGATACACTCGCTCGCTCTCCTACGGCGATCCTTCTGCCCCACCCACCCCACCCCAATAACCCCAGTCGAAGCTGCTACTTTGCGCGGGTATGCGTGAGTACGCGCTTGCGTGCGTGAGTGCATCTGTTTCTAATAATACGTCCCGCACCGCCACCCACTGATTTTTGCGATTTATTTCAAGCGCATTAATACACTAACGGCAATGCTTTTGTGAATTACGCAGGAGTTCGCTCCCACGTAAGGGTGAGTTTGCGTTGGACGACCTGGAGCACGAGCTCCGATCTCGTTACGCCGTTCTCCTCCTCGCTGCTAATAGTAATTCGGCTCGGTGCCCTCGGTCCTTATTCTCCTCCGTCATTCGTCTTTAATCCTGAATTCGCGTCTCCGTCGGCTGGGCGCGAGTTCCCGACCGGTTCCAATCCTTTCTCGAGCATTTATTCAGCGACTTGCCTCTTAGTCCGCCTGGAAAGTCCATTTGCCCACTCTCCCTAATTCTTCTCGCTCACTCTGCCTGCCTCCTTGCCAAGTTCACCGGAGGGCCCACCACCCACCCACTCTCTCCTTTTCTCTCTCTCTCTCTCTCTCTCTGTCTCTGTCTCTCTCGCTTGAACATGCGAATATAGTTTTAGCCGAGGACGATACCAAAGTGGCCGAAAACGTTCATTCAGAAACCACGGGGTGCACGGAGCGTATTATTACTTACGTAATAAGGCATTTATTTATTTCAATAGCCGTAGCCAGGAGCTTCACTATTGTTGGGGTGCGACTTAACGATGCCGTACTCATACATTTTCCTCGTTGATTCGCGATTGCGTCCTGTAGGCGCGCTCCCACGGATGTCTGGGAAGGCGCTGAGCGATTGGAAATCGACAGCTGCGCTTGAGCACTCATTCGATTGCCTTGTCGAACGTGCGTCGAACGATAGGAACGGATTGGAGAGAAGAGGAGAGATAGGGAGAGAGATAGAGAAAGAGAGAGAGAGAGAGTGAGAGAGAGAGAGAGAGAGAGAGAGAGAGAGAGAGAGAGAGAGAGAGAGAGAGAGAGAGAGAGAGAGAGAGAGAGAGAGAGAGAGAGAGAGAGAGAGAGAGAGAGAGAGAGAGAGAGTGAGAGAGAGAGAGAGAGAGAGAGAGCAACGTCGTCGTTTAGCGGAGTGACGAGCCGAGGAGAAGAGCGATCGCAGCAGCGGCTCGCCGTCGACCGAGTCGCGGAGGTAGAATGGCGCTCGATTGGTGCGTTTGGCGATCGGCAAAGGTCGGACCAATGCAGACACTCGAGTCTAACCTAATAGGATAATTGTATATGTCGAACGCTCGGCCGTTTAACTTTCTAACGTAGGAGAGGAATTCGTTGGGTGGCACGGGATTCGGCGGGGGGTAATGGACCACGGGGCGGCGGGGCGGTGGGGCAGGGGGACAGAAGCAGGAGCTCGTGCGCGCCGCTGCGAGACAAATGGGCTGATCGGCCGCTGTAGGGGCCGGGAAATCGAGGCCGCGCAACGCCGCTGGCGAAAGAGGGGCCCGGGTGCCTCGAAGGTTCGCGCTCGCGTCGTTATCGCATACCGTCGGGGCAGGGCGGGGGATGGGTAGAGATGGCTGAGGACGCGGTGGCGGAGGAGGAAGAGGAGAGAGACCCTTCCGCTCAGGTATGCCGAGTGAGCTCGCTTGGCCAAGCGAGCGCCAGAGCTCCGAAAATTACGATCTCGAGTATTCGGGGAACTTCAGGTAGGTCGCGCGCGGGAGGCTGGGGTCTGATGGTCGGAGTCGCCTTTGGGAGCGTAGTAGCGCCAAGTGACTAAGAGGAGAAAAATTCGGAGCGCCGGAGGAGCGTCGGAAGGCGCGGAGGTGGCCGCTCGCGGTACACGTGGGGTCGATACGCACCTGCTGTCGGAGGCTCTCGGCTAGATCCGTCGTTCCCGAGCTCGAGAAGACGACGAGGACGGGCGTTGGGCGTCGAGCGGGGGTCGACGTCGAGGGTGGTAAGGTTACACGGTGGCAGAGTTACGGGCTCTTCTCGGACTTCCCTCGGTGCGACTTCTTCCTGGTGACTATCGGTACTCCTGGTGCGCGACGAGACACTCCCGTGTGGCCGAAGTCGCTGTGCGCAGTAGGCCGCGTGACATGTCGCGCGCCTCCGAGTCTGCCAGAGAGCGCGGGCGACGAGCCGGATCGAGGTGCGGCGCCTATTCGACTGAATTAAGGAAGAGAGTCTCGCGCGAGAGGAGCCGAGGACCGTCAGGAGGAAAAGGCTGTCGAGAAGGAGGAGGTGGAGGAGGAGGAGGAGGAGGTTGAGGCTAAAGAGGAGGAGAAGGAGGAGGCTTAGGTGGTGGAGGAGGTGGAGGAGGAGGAGACGGCAGAGCAGGAGGAGAAGGAGGAGGAGGAGGAGGAGAAGGAGGTGGTGGAAGAGTAGGTGGAGGAGGAGGTGGAGGAGGGAGATGTAGAGGAGGAGGTGGAAACAACAGCGGTTGCTGGTGCTGGTGGTGGTGGTGGTGGTGCTGTTGCTGTTGCTGTTTCTGCTATTGCTGTTGCTGTTGCTGTTGCTGTTGCTGTTGCTGTTGCTGTTGCTGTTGCTGTTGCTCTTACTGTTGCTGCTGTTACTGCTGCTAAAACAGCGGCGACGGCGGCTTCGGTGCTCTCGAAATCGTCGGTCGGAGGGGAGCACGACTGGTTCTCGAATTTTTTCGACTTTTTACCTTACCTGTCGCTCGAGTGCCGCTCCTACAACGTCTCGCTCTCTCCCTCACTCTCCCGTTCGCCGTTTATTGCTTAGATCTCCGTCCCCCGTCACCTCGTCCATCGTCGAGGCTTTTTTTCCCGCCGTGTCCCCTTCCCCTGCCTTTACCCGCATGACGAGCGTTTCACCTGTGCGCGTCTCCTTCCTGACCTCCGACGTCCAGACAAACGTGATTCTCTGCAGAGGTGGAAACATTGTCCAACCGGGATCTCGATACTGTAGAGAACGACGTTCGCCAGCATCACCCTCGACGACTCGCGCCCTTGTCAGCAATTCGGTTATCGTCGATGCTCGTCTCGTACTCGGAGTCCCGCCACCACTGCCTCCCACTCATCTCTTACGACGATAAGTGCCGCTTAAGCATTTAAATACTTCCGCCGTTCTCTCTCTCTCTCTTTCTCTCTCTCTCTCTCTCTCTCTCTCTCTCTCTCTCTCTCTCTCTCTCTCTCTCTGTCTATCCCTATCTGTTCGTAGAAACGTCTTTCGTGAGCGACATTACGTGTTATTTGATTTTTATCCGGAGCACTGGGAACTATCAACCTTCCGTCCGGTCTGATCAATTGATGAGGGAGTCGAGGAAGCGCGGACCAATTCTGACTAATGTTTCGTAACACGATTGTCAATTACCTCGGCGCTGGCGCCTCTTCTCCACGGTCGGAACGGACAATTGAGATCGGAAACGGCGTTTATGCTCATCTGCTGTGATGAGGGCGAGAGCGGGGCCCGATGAGGTAGTAGGTAAGGTCGTTAAAGTAGACCGCGAGCGATGGGACGACCGATAGCCCGGCGATGACTCGACGTTGAGGAACTCTCACGTCGAGACCTCCCCACCTCCCCTAGGCCCTAGAACCGTGTCGGTACGTACTGCCAATAACAGACCCCGAGATCCTAAAGAGCCTGGCACGAGCCTCGCCACGCAGCGGCAAGTCCGGCCAGTCTGATGAGCTCCCTTGCCTTTTCCTCATCTACCATGGCTGTACGGAGGGATTCTGGCCCGTTGGTCGAAATTTTCCAAAAATTGACGGACGCTTCCTCGCGTAACGATTATATAGGGTCTTCGAGGAAGCTTAGCAGCTTGCTGATCGACTTGCAGCGATCGTGCCTCCGACGACGACCAATACTGCGCATCCCGCCCGCAATCCCCTCATTTGCTCATCGGTCTTTAGTTTCTCTCCTCTCAGGCTCATCTCGGTCCATCGTCCCCTCCCCCCGCCCCACGCAGTCGTCCGGCTCGTCACGGCCCATCAGTCGGTCCTGGATCGTCGCACTGTATCATGGCACTGGCATTCGCACTTGCTCGACTCTCCGATTTCACGAAGGAATCTCTCGTCGCTCGTCCCAGGCTTCCGTTGTTCATTTAGTGTGGTGGCCCTTAGGACCCCGAGTTACGATCCCATCTCGTGTCCTTGGCTTGATCGAGTCGAGTCGAGTCGAGTCGAGTCGAGGAGGCGCATCGGCCGAGTCCGAGCGGACGTTGTGTACCCCTAGACCCCACGGAGTCCCGATAATCTCCCGTCAAATTCCATCTCCGATTGTATTATCGTCTGGACTATTGACGCAATGGCCATTCGTCATTCTCAATGTCGTCCAGCTGTCGGCAATCGTCCGAGCGATAATCGAGAGCCGCGGCACAAATCCGGGATAGAGGGAGATGGCGGCGATCGAAAGAAAGTCATAATGAGCGCCATCTGGGGACCTGGCAGGAGAGAACGGCCTCCGGGATTTTCTCCAATCCCCCCAGTCGGTCGCTGCAAATAACCTGGAGGAATAGACGACGAGTTTGCCAGCTCGTCGAGTGTAAGTGATTCCAAGCTCGTGCGCTCGATGATACTAGTTAGGCCGAGTTCGACGTATCATTTGCGCGTTGTGAGGCTTGAGTTTACGTGTTCGCCACCCACTACCCAGCGACCGTCGCACTAATGAAAGAAGCCTACGTGCGCTGTTAGCCTTGGGATAATCGTGTATGATCGCGGGCGGAGAGGGGCGCGTAGCCCGGTGATGACGGGACGTGAGGGAGAGGGGAGATGAGAGACGTCGTTGCTGGAGGGACACGTATTATTATGAGAAGGTGAGGCGAGTGCGATTAAAGAGTTTTCTTAAACGTGGCGTGCCTCTGCTGTCCATACGCTTGAGTATTCGCGTGATTAGGGGGACCGATAAAAGTGAGTGGTCAGGGTCATTAGTTTTGTACGAAGCTGAGCGGTGGTGATCGTCGTCGTGTTTTTTCGCTGCCATTTTATATCGGGACTTTTAAGACATTTGTTGATTAACGGGTATTTTTATGGTGTTTGGATGGGGGCCAGGGTAGCTAGCGTATGTTGTTGTATTGTTCGTATTGTTGGCTTCTTTAGTATGACGTTGTATTGATTCGTACGGGAAGAAGTATTTCGCTGGTCTTGGCTAATCTTATCGTCAACGTCTGCTCAACCGGCTGTTTATTTATAAATAATGTGTTTTTAACGTTGGCGTTCGACGTAGTATTTCGTAAATGAGTAGCGGAATTGCGGCAGCTTTGACTGTTAATGTTTAAGCGGTGACCGATAATATTATCTTACCGATAGCTTGAATTGTAAATTTCCTTGTGGCTGGGGTACGGATAGAAATTCTTGAGATTAATCTTGGGTGGTAATGATGAGAGTGGAGAGATTGATAATGTGTGGGGAAAAATGTTTACTCAACTGGGAGGCATTTGTTGTAAATACTCTCGTTTATCGATTGCCTCGTCGAGTGAGATCAATAACGACCGTTACTTTTACTTTTGTAGAAAAATGAGGCTCTGGCTAATATTGTTCGTCTCGATATTTGCAATACAGAACTGTGTTGCACCACCGGTTACCAAGCAGAAGAAAGAGGAAGCTGAAAATGAAGTGGAGGAGCTGGTAAGTACGATTGGCTATATAGTAATTGCAGTCCGTTATTATTTGTTGAGTGGCATATGCGTTTTCAGCCCGACGATGTGGAATATCGCAGGTACCTGGAAGAAGTTATATATGCCCTGGAGAGTGATCCAGATTTTCGGGAGAAGCTAGAAAAGGCCAACGAAACTGATATTCGTGTGAGTAGGAATTACTATTTTAAGAGAGAGGGTCCACAAAGAATTGTCGGTTAATTGCTTCTTCTTCTTCTTCCGCTTCTTTTATAGAATGGCAAACTCGCTGATGAACTTGAATACGTAAATCATAAAGTTAGAACGAAACTGGATGAATTGAAAAGAGCAGAGCTCGAAAGACTGAGGCATTTGGCGGTTAGAGAATACGAATTGTCGAATGGTTTTGATCCAAATCACTTGAAAATGGGTGAGCACGTGGATCACACAAATCCTCATACTTTTGAAATATACGACTTAAAGAAATTAATAGCTAAGGTAAACAAAGAAGCCATTATTAGTAAAGTACAAGAGGCATGTATTTAGCTATAAGTGTGTATAAGTTTGTATGTACATTTTCCAGACGACTCAGGACTTGGACGAGGCTGATAAAAGAAGACGCGAAGAATTTAAACAATATGAAATGAATAAAAAGTTTGAGCAAGAAGAAAAAATGAAAAGTATGAATATGTTTGTATAGATTTGATTAATGCGTGCGTTTGTATATTTATCTTTGAAAATCTTTCCTTAGAAATGAGCGATGTAGAAAAAGAAAAATATGAAAATGAACTACATGATTTAGAAAAGAAACATAAGGATCATGAACCAGTAAGTCAACTTACTAAACACATTATTGAATTATATGTGCCTGTATTTTATTTTTTTATTTGAAATTTTTGATATTTCTATTAATCGATAGTTGCATCATCCTGGTAGTAAAAAGCAGCTGGAAGAAGTTTGGTCAAAACAAGATCATATGGAAAATCAGGACTTTGATCCAAGAACCTTCTTCTTTATACATGGTATGGTTGAATATCGCGTTAAACTAATTTGAAAAATAATTAAGATACTTCAAATGATGGTTGGTACATTGTTTACTTATTGTTTCGTTTTTTTTTTTTTTTTGTTTTTTTTTTCAATAGATTTGGATGGTAATGGCGTTTGGGATCAAAATGAACTAAAAACTCTGTTCCTAAAGGAATTGGATAAACTGTATGCAGAGGGACATCCAGAAGATGATCTTGTCGAACGAGCAGAAGAATTAGAAAGAATGAGAGAGCACGTCATTCGCGAGGCTGATATTAATAAAGATGGGCTTATTAGGTAAATTGAATAAAATTGATTAAATTACGATGGTTTTACGCGAAGCGAGGACTTACTTAGAAACTCTTGCAGCTACGAAGAATTTTTGAACGAATCAAAGAAAGCAGAGTTTGAAAAGGATCCTGGATGGGAGCCACTCGATGAACAGCAGTTATACTCTGAGCAAGAATATGAAGAATATAAACAGCAAAAGGCTAAGGAAATGCAAAAGGTTATTTCTCAAAGAATGGTAAGATAATTATAAGCGTAACCTTATCATGTTTGCAAGTAAGCATGCTATTTATAAACTATTTTGTAATTTTACTCTACATTATTTTCAGTTGCATTATCTATATTTGTAATCTATTTTTGTGTGTGTGCGCGCGCGCGCGTGTGTGTGTGTGTGTGTGCGTGTGACTTTGAAAGATCGCATGCGTATATAAGAGTTCTTACCGAAAAATACAGCATTGATTTTTAGTAATTAGAGCAATTAACAAGCTGCTTGTGCATTGTTTTTTGCTAGTTGCAAGAGAATCAACCTGCTGGTCAACCGCCGGCTGGACATCAGCAGGTGAGAAACAGTAGAATTAATTTATTTTTCAAATGGGAATTTTAGTTGTATTTTAAATGCCTAAGATCATCTTTGTAGAATTACTTTTGAAACTTTTTTCACGTATTTAGTATAGCTGCTTGATTAGTACTTTATTCAAATACCTGTAAGCGCGACTGAGCTGAACGATATAAATGAATTTCAGTTCCCATCTCATCCCAATCAAGTACACCCAGAGTATGTACAACAGCCTCAATATCAGGTACCTATGCAACAGCAACAGCAACAGCAACAACAGCAACACTACCCTCAGCAAGGTCAATACATGAATCAAATGCCACCGCAGCATGGTCAATATAATAATCAGATGCCTCTTCAACAAGTGCCTCCGCAACATATGCAATACCCGAATCAAATGCCACCACAGCATGCCGCGTACAATCAGTTACCACCTCAGCAAGGACAATTCATTCAGCAACAGCAGCAACAACAACAGCAGCAGCAGCAGCAGCAGCAGCAACCACCACAGCAACAGCAGCAACAATTTTATCAACAGGGAGCACCAATTAACAACAATATGAATCAAGGACTTCCTCAACAAAATTATCCTGTTCCTAACCAGCAGCCACCACCTCAGTATCAATTCCAGCAAGCCCAGGTTATGCAAGATCCCAATAAAATTCATCCTGAACAATACAACGTGCCAGCTGGCCAGCAGCTAAATCAGCAACAAAATCAGCAACAAAATCAGCAGCCAAATCAGCAACAAAATCAGCAGTCAAATCAGCAACAAAATCAGCAACGCATTGATAGTAATAGCGTTAATCAGGCTGCTCAACACGTGCAACAAAATCAGCAGCTACCGGCTGGATCTCCGCATTTAATTAATCAACAGCAGCAGCAGCAGCAGCAGCAGCAGCAGCAGCAGCAGCAGCAGCAGCAAGCGTCGAGTGGACAGAACCAACCAAATACTCAAAATCAAATTCCTCAACAAACGCACGAACAAGTATCTTCCTTAAAGAATGCTCAGGTCCATTGATATGTACCCACAGTTGTTAAGACGTAATTGCCCTAGGATAATAGCACCGATTACACAAGACTTCCGGTTAAACTTTTACATAATGCCGCCAGACGCCATTTCATACTTAACATTTAGTTGACGAAAACACGAAAACTTTTACATTACAATGGAAGATATAATGGGGATGGAAGAGAAAGTGGTCGATATTGGTGATTTTTTAATTTTTAATGTGGATAGAACAAAAAAGGAATTCTTCGTTATTTAGGAATTGTAAAATTGTTAAAACTGACGAGTACGATTATGCATATCGGCAATTAACGATATACGCCAAAATTAAATAAAATTTCATTTGACAAAATTATATATTAAATTTCATTCGATTGTAGCCACACCTCGTAAATGTCAAGACTTCTCCTCCCCACCCCCACCTCTCTCCCTCTCTCCCTCTCTCCCTCTCCCACTCTCCCACTCTACCACCCAACCCCTTCAACATTAAGGCCGATAATACCAAATAGTAGTAGTAACAAGGTGGATAAATGAAAAACAGAGTTATGTATATATATTTTTTTTTTTTTTTTATATTTATTATTATTGCATATTGTTTACGTTAGTATATTACTTAGGTATACGTGCCAAGTAGCAACTTAAATGTATGATTGCGTGATTCTGTTTGTTCCTCGGTAGGTAGGGTAATGTACGCTTACTCCGTATTATATATAGGGTGTATTTATAGGTATAGTATAGTTTTTTTTTTTTTTTTTTTTTTTTTTTTTTTTTTTTTCGGTAAAACGTCACCTTAAGAGCTATTCGGTACAATAAATAAAAAGAATCAACGGATGGCGGCTCTCTATAAAATATCCAACTCCTGCTTGTCTTTTCTTATTTCTTCTCATTTAAGTCTTTTAGAACATTTCCGTCTCGATTTCGCTTTAAATGATACCCTCCTTATTGTTCTAGGCGACAGAATCATGTTTATGTTTATGCTTATTTATTTTTTCTTTTTTCCATTTTTTTTTTTGTTATTGTTTTTTTTTTTTGTTTGTTTGTTGCTTTTATCCATGTTCTTAATCATTTACTAATCTAAGCCTTGATGACGCTTGCTTAACGTTCAATTATTAAATAACAAATTGGTCTAGCTAAACAAAGAGGATTTGTATTCTCTCGTCGGTCAGTGAAAATTACTACAAAATTATACAGTAATGAATGGTCGTCGTGGTCGTCGTATTGGGCAAACGGAAAACAGGAACGAATTTCAAGGAAAGAGCCGTATGTATGGGCCTTTGGAGTGACACTCTTATAATTGACAATTTTATACGACCGTAGGAATAACAATTAGACGCTATTTTATCGAAAAATGATAAAAAAACAATTTATAATGCAAAACCCATACGTAAAATCATGCCTGTTTTCCATCACAATGAATTATTATTCTCGAGCTATGTGATATCGTAACGGCCGCTAATTGCCTTGTCGTGACGAATGAAAAGAAAAGTATGATTTATGCATTTTTATACAGGAAAAAAATTATTTGGCTTAAAAAATACTTGAGAAAACTGTTCGCAGCTATTGCATTCTTATTTCAGCTTCTTATTTCACCATCTTCTACGTCATTTACTTCATCTATTACTTCGTCTACGTCTTCCTCATCTTCTTATCATTTAAAACAGTCTTCAGTAGCGCCGAATAACTTTTTTCTTGAATCGCCGGAAGGAATAGCAAACGTCTCCATTCTTTCTGCAGAACGCAAAAAAATAAATAATTGTACAATTAATTCGTTAACTAATAGTATAATT